CAAACAAACAAACAAACAATAACGTTTTAAGTTGTATTGCTTATTTCAAATTCTTTTTATCTCTGTATTATAATTTTATTTAATATATATATATATATTATTTTTTATGTTCTTATTTATGTGTATTGTTAATGGATTTCATTTCTTAATTTTTATTAATATTCCACTCTTCCATTCCTGTATCATTACATGTTTTTGTTCACAAATCTTTCAGTTGTTCTAGACATTACTTCTTGCAGGAACACATATTTTTATTAAGCTGTTATTATTTCATCACTACTCTTTGTCTTCGCTTCCCATCACACACACAATTTAGAACATATTCTTAGAAACTCATGATGTGTTGTACTTCCTGTACCACATAACTGACCCACATTATTACAATAGTATTTTGTCATTTATCCCTGATGATGGAAGGTCCACTTTCCAAGAGCATTAGGGTTATTGTTTCTTAGTTTCTTCCTGATGCTGTCTTCTGTTGAACCCAAGTGTTTTCAAATGTTATGAGAGTCTTACCTGATTATCATTATTGTCTTTATCATACTTATATTGATAGTTTTCAACGTTATCTAGATTTGTAGTCTCATCTTATTATTATTGTTGTCTTTATCATACTTATATTGATAGTTTTCAACGTTATCTAGATTTGTAGTCTCATCTTATTATTATTTTAAGACAACAATGATAACAGATAAGACTACAAATCTAGATAACGTTGAAAATTACCAATTTAAGTATGATAAAGACAACAATGATAACAGATAAGACTACAAATCTAGATAACGTTGAAAACTATCAATATAAGTATGATAAAGACAACAATAATAATAAGATGAGACTACAAATCTAGATAACGTTGAAAACTATCAATATAAGTATGATAAAGACAACTTACCAATTTAAGTATGACAGATAAGACTACAAATCTAGATAACGTTGAAAATAAAGACAACAATGATAAAAATCTAGATAACGTTGAAAATTACCAATTTAAGTATGAGTACTCAGAATGGTATTTGGAAGCTCATTCTCAAAGTTACCACTACTGAGAATGGTACTTGATAGTTCATTCTCAAAGTTACCACTACTCAGAATGGTATCTGGAAGTTCATTCTCAAAGTTACCACTACTCAGAATGGTATCTGGAAGTTCATTCTCAAAGTTACCACTACTCAGAATGGTACTTGGAAGATCAATCTCAAAGTTACCACTACCCAGAATGGTACTTGGAAGCTCATTCTCAAAAGTACAACTAAGATTCAGGCATAGTCATCCTTTCCTTAGAATTGCTTACTAAAGGGAGGACAGCCAATGAAAAAGACCAGCCCCCTAAATTCAGCGACCCCTAAAGTGTTAATTTTTGTTAGTTGATAATCACTAAGTTATAAGATGGGCTATCTGTGTTGTGACCACTTCGGGTAACGAAACCCGATTTATAGCGTGATAATCTCTCAGACTTAAAGACTGAACCACCAGAGAACACCTAGACCAATACTGGTATTAACTGTAACTGTTATAACACCACACAGTCGAAACTGTGGAGCGAATACGGAGACATACCGTGGTTTGTACTTTTAAATCTCGGATTCGCAGCTTGGTTAATTCGGAATGTACAATTGTATAGATATACTTCCTTCATGACTACCCCTGTCTGTCTGACGACATGAATTCATATAGCCTTCTGACATATAACAACAATCACTGGTAGGTTACTGTTTCATCAATATCTATATCATACAGAACAGTGATATACTTGCATATTTTAACATATACACTGTCTGTATGTTCTGTTACATCTCATTTTACACCAATATTTATATCATAGAAAACTTTCACACTTTAACATCTTTCCTCTCTCTCTCTCTCACTGTCTTTATGTTCTGTTATATCTCATTTGATTGTGTTGCTTTATTATTGCACGTCGAGCCTGTATTTACATAGCGACTCATATAACAGGTCAACAACAACAAAAAAGCATTTGATCAAAATCCTTTAATCTTTCTTGCCCTGCTAATGGCCGGTAGAAGTTTTCCTGGGATTGTACCGGGATTAAACTTGGCAGAGAACAATTTCTAGACCTAAGTTTTTAAGGCACTGTCTACTTTTCCAGTTTCTCTTGTTATCATGTCATCTTCCGACTGGCTCCCAGGTGACTCAGCGACAGGTCTGTGGACTTATAACACTAAAAATCGAGTTTCGATACCCATGGAAAGCAGAACACAGATAGTCCATCGTGTAGCTTTGTGTTTAACAGCAAACAAATAAACAAACCGACTGTTGCTGTTTCTTTATGGTTCCCCACACCCTTCCATGTAGTGTACAATGCAACTCACGGCATTCAAAACCTTGATACTAATTTCATGTGATATAATGCATGAAGGTCTTCAACAAATACCGAAATGTTTTATTTTAAATAACATATCACGACATCATGACGCAGTTTTCAAAGTTATTTCTCCTAACAGGAATCTAAAGCAGATGAAAGTTAAATAAATTAAACAAGTAAAAAATAGTGCATTTGTAAGTAAAGTTATAAATTCGTCTGAAAATTGAAAATTGTTTGATTTCGCTTTTAATTTCGTTAGAAGCATTTAAAATATCAAGCATTAGCATTTTTTGTTACCTGTTGCAGACTGTCTGAAAGAAACAATGGATTTTATGTGATTTCCGTTTGTGGTGTGAAACTTGAGTTCGTATAGAGCTGATACTGACACACGTATGTTTTGAACAAGACAATAGAATGGTTTAAGTAGTTCGAAACAAAGCGTTTCACACCAATTGTCTTACGTTCTAATAAAGAACCCAAGTCCGTCTACTCCTGACAAAGTACAATCGTGACTCCTATCCGCCACCATTTTAACAATCATACAGATTCTTCAGTTTTTATCTCTTTTTCCTTTCAATATACAAGATGTACGTCAAGCTCTACTAATTACCTTATCGCCAGTTGTTATGCTCGTGGTTTAAACCGACAATTAGACACAATTCTTAAAATCCTGCTTAAAATGGGTCAAAGGATGTGGGGGGGGGATAAAAACACGTATTTGAATTTATCCAGGATACACCCTGATTCATGTGTTCCACTTGACTTTAAGTCTCCTGACCTAGTTTATGAGTGATTTGAAGCAATCTAAGTGTCGATATATGCACTGTTTTCCCATCATGGCTTTGTCATTCTGGGGTTAAGAAAAACTTGACAAAATGATGGTTCAGTATGTTTTGAAGTTTGAAACACGACCAAGAAATAATCAAACTTACAATATATTTGTCCTTTAAAGGTAAACTAAACATATCTCTAGAGTTATCTTTATAGTTGGAGTATAAAACACCAATTGTATTCAGTTGTCGATAACATAATGTTTGAGAACATTATTTGGAATGAGTATAAATCTTAAATTTTTGAAAAGAATATTCAAGTAACGTTATCAAATCCAGGTTAATTCCGTCATCAACGTAAAACTAAAAGTAAAAAAATATGAAAGTTAAAACAATGATAACAAAATCAGACTAGAAGTTTAGAAAATATTTCAAACTATCAATGTGAGCATTATAAGTATAATCTTGGTAAAAAAAGATAAGACTCGAACTCTGAAACAATTTTGAAAATTACGAATGTGAATATAGTAAAGACAAGAATGATAAAATTAGGATATAAATATAAATAACATTGAACTAACAACATAAGTATAGTAAAAACAATAATGATAATAAGATGAGGCTGTAAATCTATTAAATGTTTGAAACTAACAACATAAATGTAAAGACAATAATGTTAACAATATGAAACTAAAAATCTAAATATTGTTTAAAACCAATCATCTAAATATAATAAAGACAACAATGATAATAAGATGAGACTAGAAATCTATATAACGTTGAAAATTACCAATTTGAGTATGATAAAAACAACAATGATAATAAGATGAGACTAGAAATCTAGATAACGTTGAAAATTACCAATTTACAACAATAATAATAAGATGAGACAAGTGGAGACTTTGAGAATGAACTATCAAGTACCATTCTGAGTAATGATAACTTTGAGAATGAACTTCCAGATACCATTCTGAGTAGTGGTAACTTTGAGATTGATCTTCCAAGTACCATTCTGAGTAGTGGTAACTTTGAGATTGATCTTCCAAGTACCATTCTGAGTAGTGGTAACTTTGAGAATGAGCTTCCAAATACCATTCTGAGTAGTGGAGACTTTGAGAATGAACTATCAAGTACCATTCTGAGTAGTGGTAACTTTGAGAATGAACTTCCAAGTACCATTCTGAGTAATGGTAACTTTGAGAATGAACTTCCAGATACCATTCTGAGTAGTGGTAATTTTGAGAATGTACTTCCAAGTACTATTCTGAGTAGTGGTAACTTTGAGATTGAACTTCCAAGTACCATTCTGGGTAATGGTAACTTTGAGATTGATCTTCCAAGTACCATTCTGAGTAATGGTAACTTTGAGAATGAACTATCAAGTAACATTCTGAGTAATAGTAACTTTGAGATTGAACTTCCAAGTACCATTCTGAGAGTACAGAATAGTAAGAAACGATTTACTTCTGTTGAACAGTATTGCTGTACAGCGTAGTAAGGAACGAGGTATTTCTGTTGAATAACAATTTACTCTACAGAGTACTAAGAAACGATTTACTTCCGTTGAACAACATGTTGATGAACAAAGTAGTGAGAAATGGTTTGCTTTTCTTGAACAAAGTATTCTAAATTAATATAACTTGTATGTAAAACTCTTCTAAGCGATTCGATAACATTAGATATTGGTTTTCAAAAACAGGACTTCCTAGAGGCACTAGTCTGGCTTGAGTAACATTATACCTGTTTGGTAAGGCTTACTCTTTTCCTGACAATTGTATGCTTGTTTAAATTAACAGCTGTTACACAGATTTTTTCACATGTTCTCGAGTTAAAAAGATTAAAATTTAATATTTTATTTACATTTAAATTGTGTTAGGAGATATTACATTACACTCTTTCCTAAAAACGGACAAAAAAAAATACGGTATTATTTCTATTGGAAATTAAAAGTTCTATCTCGTCCAGATTTTATCTTGAAACTAACACAAATTATTTACAGGATCAATAATAGTTATCAGAATTATTGGATTAAAAGACGACTTACAGTATTTGTTTTTGTTTGAGCAAGATCAGTGGGTATAACGTCCGCAACATGTGAAAAAAACACATAAAAATCATCTTGAGTGGTGGTGAAATTAGTACAAGAATATCTTAATACAGTGTCGATGAAATCAGTATAAAAATATTGTACTGGGCTCTGACCAAGAAGTACAAAAACATCTTAAAACATTATAAAAAGAGCTGGAACGGGTGGTTAAAATTGGACACAGTTTGAACAGTCTTAAAATAAGTATATCTCAAATCAGTACTAAATTATCTTAACCCTAAACAAAACATTTTTTGCTGTTGATATTCTGATTTTAATTGAAACTTATTACGTTAACCCGATCAATACCACATATCACAAGTTTTCTTGTAATTTATTTAAATAACCAGAGAAACTAATATATTTTCGTATTTTATTTACAAGGGTCGTGGACATCATAAGTAACTAGAGAAACAGATAAATTTTCTTAGATTATTTTAAATGTTCATATAATATGAGGAATTATTAGCTTGTAGAATTGTATTTTAAATGTTCGTGGAGGTTATAAATAATTAGAGAAATTTATAGATTTTCCTGGTTTATGCAAAAATTTATGGATGTTATAAATATCTAGTAGGTTTTCGTGTTATATTTCAAATGTTCGTGGATGATATAAATAGCTAAAGAAACATATAGATTTTTATGTTTCATCTGAAATTATCGTGGATATTATTAATAACTACAATAACTGATAGATGTTCGTGTTTTCTTTACAACTTTCATGGAAAGTTCACTGAGGAAAAATCAAGTGTTTCATTCAAAAGGATAAAATATAAATTTGGTATAAACTTATCTGATGTTATAGATGAGAAACGATTTATTGCTGTTAAACACTAATGCTGAACAAAGTAGTAAGAAACAATTTACTTCAGATAAACAGTATTGCTGCACAGCATAGTAGGAAACGATTTACTTCTGTTAAGCAGTATTGTTGTACAGACAAGTAGGAAACTACTTACTTCTGTTGAACAGTATTGCTGTACAGAATAGTAAGAAGAAATTTACTTATGTTAAACAGTATTGTTGTACAATGTAGTAAGAAACGATTTAGGTTAAACATTATTGCTGTACAGTGTAATGAGAAACAATTTCTTATGTTGGACAGTATTGTTGTACAGGATAGTAAAAAACGATTTATTTCTGTTATACAATATTGTTGTACAGAATAATAAAAAACGATTTACTTCTGTTAAACAATATTGCTCAACAGAGTAGTAAGAAACGATTTACTTCTGTTAAACAATATTGCTCAACAGAGTAGTAAGAAACAAGGCATTTCTGTTGAACAACAAATTATTATACAGCGTAGTGAGAAACGATTTACTTTTGTTAAACATCATTGCTGTACAGCGAAATAAGAAACGATTTACTTATGTTGAACAGTATTGTTGTATAGGGTAGTAGAAAACGATTTACTCCTTTTAAACAGTATTGCTCTACAGAGTAGTAAGAAACGATTTACTTCTGTTAAACAATATTGCTTACAACGTAATAAAAACGATTTACTTATGTTAAACAGTATTGTTGTACAGAATAGTAAAAAACGATTGACTTCTGTTGAACAGTATTCTTATACAGAGTAGTAATATATAATTTCTTCTGTTGAAAGGTATTGCTGTACTGCGTAATAAAAACGATTTACTTCTGTTAAACAGTATTGCTAAATAGAGTACTAAGAAACGAGGTACTTCTGTTAAACGGTATTGCTGTTCAGCGTAGTAAGAAACGATTTACTTCTGTTGAATAGTATTGTTGTACATCGTAGTAGGAAAGGATTTTATTCTATTCAAAAGTAGTGCTGAACAGAGTAGTAAGAAACGATTTATATCTGTTAAACGGTAATCTTGTACAGGGTAGTAAGAAACAATTTAGTTCTGTTGAAAGGTATTGCTGTACAGCGTAATAAGAAACGATTTACTTTTACTAAACAATATTGCTGACAGTATGTAATAGTAGTAGTGAATCCAGTTGAAGTTAATGTACATTCTGTTTTAGGGAATTGAAATGATAGTGGAGTATGAGACAAATGTTTATTGCTGCTATAATAATAGTAGTAGTAATGGATCCATAAATGACTATACATTCTGTTTTATGGAACTAGCATCATATTCTATAAAATGTTTGATGAAACCATTTGTTAAAGAGGTAAACCTTTAGTATAGTATTAAAGGACTTGGGGTATATTTTTTTTCATTTATTTAATAGTTTCTCTAAGCCCATATAGCTGTAGTTTAGAGAAATGAAGTGACCGTAGTTTCATTCCCTGACACATATTTAAACTTGCAACAGTATTAATGAGTGGAATTGCAGGTATTTGCCTCCCCCTCCCCCATTTAATCCCCATCTCCTCTATGTATAATAGTATCTAGGCCTTTGCAGGTACGTGTCAGCAGAAGGACAGGCCAGGTGTGCTTCAGGACAATGACCCAGTTATGCTTCCTACATTTTTTCTTCTAATAATCGCGCAGCCAATGAGAGTTGACCTTGAGACGACGTCACAGGTGGCGCTGAACCAGCTATTTTTCTGTTAACTTAAGATTTTTGTCTTGAAGTCAAGGAAGACACGTATATCTGGCTGTGATGTGTTAGGATTTAGAAAAGCGTACTAAAAGGTATCGTTTTGTATGTAACAACAACATGATCACGGTTGATGGATGGTTAGAATGGTGATTGTCCAGAGATGCACTTTAGCAGCAACCGAAGACTCGTCTACGATATATTTAGCCGAAGTAGGCGTATAGTAATCATGCTAAACTAGAGGTAGTTAAAATCACTCAAACATCAGAACAGCACTTGAAGATCTTATATCTAACTTTTCTCCACACTTTCATGTTTTACTCGCAGGTTCTTTTCAGACTATACTTCTACAGTCGCCTCTGAGAGGATCTCTCTTTTCTTACAGAAATGACCACTATGATATCGTTTTTTTTTACTGCATGACAGGTAAGTTGTTGATATAGTTATCGTTCTGAAACACGTAGAGGTTTTTAAATGTAAATATCAAAACGAAAAACAAATTATCGGGTAGTGCTCATCGATTGGAAAGCTTTGTTTTTTAATAGATGTATAAAATTATCTTTTCCATGAAATGACCATTCCATCACACGCTCTCCACGTTCCACGTGCAAGAGAACGCAATTGTATGCAATATTTGAACATAGTTGTTTCTATGGTGCACATTTATAGAACTTGCACTATTCTCCCCCCCCCTCTCCAACCAATGGCTCAGCGATAAGTCTGTAAGCTTACGACACTAAAATTTCAATACCCGTCGTTGGCGGATCACAGATAGCCAATGTGTCTTGAACTGGATTCACTACTACTACTATTACATACTGTCACCTGAACTGGATTCACTACTACCACTATTACATACTGTCACTTGAACTGGATTCACTACTACTACTATTACATGCTGTCACCTGAACTGGGTTCACTACTACTACTATTATATGCTGTCACTTGAACTGGATTCACTACTACCACTATTACATACTGTCACTTGAACTGGATTCACTACTACTACTATTACATACTATCACTTGAACTGGATTCACTACTACTGTTACATACTGTCACCTGAACTGGATTCACTACTACTACTATTACATAATGTCACTTGAACTGGATTCACTACTACTACTATTACATACTGTCACTTGAACTGGAATCACTACTACCACTATTACATACTGTCACTTGAACTGGATTCACTACTACTACTATTACATACTGTCACTTGAACTGGATTCACTACTACTACTATTAT